CCAATTCATATGGCAGTCTGAGTCCAATTGCAGGTCTCCAAGCTGCCCTCCCACCCCAGTGGTTTACTTAATTGTCTGCCTGTGAGCAAGGAGATCTGTGGATTCAGACTACTTTCTGGGCCTACCTTCCAGCTTCAAGCAGTGTTCTGGGTGGCTATTAGGCCTTTGTCTTTGTCCCAACATCCAACCACCTCAGTAAAGTTAAGGAGGGAGGGTACAGTGTAATTGGCCCAGCACCAGCTTCTCTGTCAACTTCTCCAGACCCCTCTCACTCTGCACTCCTTTCCCTACTTTCCTTTTCCCTCTATTTTTCCCTTTAGAAGCACCTCCACCTAGCATATCCTAGTTGGGAAGGGCAATTGTGATGCTTTCACACCGGAGGCCCTGCTCTGTGTGGACTGGGACCCTTCCTGAGATCATGCAGAAACCACCCTGCCTGAAAGTAACCTTCTTACAAAGTGAAACCCATGCTCCCTGAATGGAATCCTGGGGCCACCACACAGGCCACCCTTACCCCTCCTCTGAGGACAGAGGCAGAGAGTTTGGACCTGCTTACCTTCCCAGAGGCTCAGAGACCTTCACATGCCAGCCCCTCACCCTTGTTATACTCAGTCCTGTAGCAAGGGTCTCTTCCTAGCAAGGGTATAAGACCCACTTGTCCCTAACCTGACACAAACAATGACTACCTGGAAAGTGACTTTGAAAGTACAATATTACTTGTAAACACTTTAAAGAATATTTTTAAAAACATATACAACATGTGCATGCTAAAAATTAGGACATGCAATAAAAGAAAACAAATATCAAAATATATGTTAAATACAAACCATGCTACATGTGTTGGAAAATTCAACATAGTAAAAATGTCAGTTTTCCCAAATTTATCTATAGGACTCATGAAATTCTTATCAGAATAGGATCACACAAGGATCTTTGTAAACACAGATAAGCTTATTCTAATGTTTATATGAACTGGAATGTGCCCTAGAATGACCAAATCAATGTATACAAACTTAAAAGTAGGTGGGAGAGAGCCCTGCACCTCGCCATAGAGCTCAGTATAGGCCCACAGGGAAGAGCCAGTGCAGTGCTGGGGCAGGACAGATGGGGATTGGCAGAGGAGAGAGAGGACAGAGAAATAGGCCACACAAACACAGCAGGTGGCACTTGACAAAGCCACAAGAGAAATACAAGCAGAAAACTAGCATCTTCAGGAAACAGTGCCACAGCACTCAGACATTACAGACAGAAAATGACCCTAAACCTCACGCTTTATACAGAAATTACCTCAGAATGTGATACAGAGATGAATGTAAATATAAAATATGAGACTTTCAGAAAAAACATAGGTGACTAGGGCTAGTCAAAGAGATCTCCATTTTCACATCAAAGAAAAATGCATAAAAATAAAAATTAATAAATTGAATTTTATCTAGATCAGAAACTCTCATAGAGACTCTGTTAACAAAGGAAGAAAAGCCGGGCTATAAACAAGAGAAAACATTGAGAATTCAAACTCCTGACTGAGCAGTACCAACTGGAATATAGATATAAAACACCACTCAAAACTCACCGGTGAAATAACCAATACCACAGTCAGGGAAAGGTAAGAGATGAGCAGCCAGTTCATCAGGCAGGTTCTTCAGGGGCAGGAAGCACATACAGAGACATCCAGCCCACAGATCTTCAAGGCCCTTGCACAAAGCTCCATCCCGCAGCCAAAGCTTGTTATGTGATTCACTGTGTGGGAGCCTCCATCTAGCAAGAATAGTCTTAGGAAAGAAACTTTTACCTAAAATCTCCAACTCTCATGACTGACCAACAACAACTGTGCTCTGGTGCTCTTAAGCAAAGCACAAAGGACATCACACATCTATCAAGTTTGTGCAGTGGTTATTTGCATACAGACCTGGCTCCTGTGCATTCTTCTGAGTCAGAGTAGGTAGACAGGTACACTTTGAACAAAAGAATTTCTGTCCCACTGTGTACATTCAGCTCTAAAACAGAGTCTGGCACTGAGTCATTTACCTTCTGAAACCAATTCCATACCTGGAATTAACATATGTGCATTGTTTTTGCCTCCAAAGTAATAGATGAAATGAGAGTATGAGGGTAAAACTGTCTCTTGAAAGTATGTTGTCAGTGTCTTCTACAGATAGGATGTTTTAACTTTAGGAAGGCAGTGGACGGAACAGGACTGGTTGGTCAGCAGTGACTCTCTATCCCACTGACTCACCCCAGGAGCAGTGCAGCAGAGTGCACAGCACAGCACAGCAACAATTGAATGCACACGGCTCAAGTGTGAGTGCTCAACCTAGAAAAGTCACCGATGCTCTACAGATGACAGGGCAATGCTTAACACTTTAAAGTGCCTGTTGGAAATCTTTACATGAGTCACCTTTGAAGTGAATGGGCACAGCCTAGGAGCTCCCCTGGGCTAACCTGGCATTCAGAGGCAGCAGCTCACATAAGCACTCACAATGCCCCTCTGTCCATGTATAAGGTCAAGGTAAACTAACAGGCTGGATTTTTTTCTCTTTCATTGCCCCTTTCTCATTCATTTCATCCATCCTTCCTTCCCTCTATCCTTTCCCTTTTCTCCTTCTCTCCATTGATCCTCCTTTCTGTGGGAAAGATTAACTTTATTTCATTTTCTGATTTCTTTCCTCTTTAATAGCGATGTTGAAGTGTTGTTAGCAGCAGTTAACTAGTTCCTAAAATGTTCTCTCCAGCCAAAACTTCACAGTTTTGGTCTGTCTGACTGAATGCTGAGTGTTGAATCCCTTGCTGATGATACTGTGACTCTGCAATCAAACACAGGGTGGAGAGGAAGCTGGGACCATTCTGTACAGCTCATTCAGACATCTCTAATTCTGCTGTCTTAATACAATTTTGTTGTAACTACTTTAGTTTTGCACAGTTCATTCTACTGTGTTTTTGTTTTCTGCATGTGATGATCAACTCCAATGAACTGTTTCCCTTGGGCCTTCACCACAGATTAAGTGGTGGCAGCAGGGTTTTGTCAGTTCCTTTATGCAGGTGCCCACTGGCAGTGAACTGCCCACATGCCAGCCAAGCAGCACATCACGGCAGTCACCAGCTTGTGTGTCTTCCTGCACATTTCAAGGAAACGCTCCCATTTATGAGTCTAGACAGCAATCCCTTGTGTCTATCTTGACCAAGTCTTTGGAAATCACTGCCTGGGGACCACCCAGCAGCAGGCAGCAGGTGTGAGCCACTCGATGACTGCACAGCCACACTCTTCCCTGGCTGGTCAGATGCACGCTGCATATCTTAGGTGTGATTAAGGGTGACTGTGCACAGGGACCACACTGATGACCATGCTGGGTTTGCTGAGCCACTGCTGAGGCTGCTTAACTGACCTGAGAGGCAAATCTCTAGCAACCAACATGAATGAAATCAATACTGTTTCCCCTGAAGGCATCAAGTCCTCATTTACCGAGCACTGCTTCGTGCCCAAGTAATCTGTGTGAGGGCACCTTCACTCCTTGGTTTGATGTTCTGTGAGCTTCCTGCCTTGGTCTGGTGTCTCCCAAACCTCTGCTCTTTTTCCTCTCTGATCTCTTGGCCCAGTTATTTTGCAGTCATCCTTGCAGTCATCATCACCAGGTCACAACTAAGTGGGGCTGGAAACACATTTCTAGCAGTTCAAGGTGACAGACTATAAATGACAGACTTTGTAATGGCAGACTCATGATTTCAGGCCTTTTTGAAAAGTGGGGACTCTGTGGTGTTCCTACAAGGAACAGTCAGTATTTAACATACAGATGTCTTTGACAGTGAAGAACTCGTTTCCAACCTATATAATTTTCCTGGCTAAAACAAAAAGCCTCCAGGGACACCATGCCCTGCCCTGAGCTCTTGTCCCATAGTGTCCCTCCCAGCTGTGGCCCATTTTGTGTTTCAAGTCTGCACTGACAGGGAGCCCAATAACCACACAAGTGACCCTACCCTTGGCCTTTGGGAAAAGGTTTGGGTGGAAGTGGCCACTTCTGCAGAACTGTTCCAGGGAGACTTGGCAGGCCTTGGATATCTTGTCAAGGGGACCTGCTGATGCGGTTTTCCTGAGGCTCTGAGGCTCACATATGGGGCTTCCAGAGCTCATGCAGTGCCTAGGGAATGGCAGGATGGAAGCTCAGAGCCCCCTCACCCTGCGAAGGCCATCGGAACAGTGACACCCTGCAGAGCACTGTGAATCCCTGAGCAGAGGATGCAGTAATGCAGAGGAAAGGGAGAGCAGCCCTGACTCAAGGACAGGAGCAGCCCACTGCATATTTCCACAATCCTACTCCAAGCCATGGAGTTAAGTTTGGGTGAGGAAATAAAAGTTAAACTACCAAAAAAGTGAACACATAAAACTCTAAAGTTTTAAAATGCTTCTGTTCACACTATATGCCAACAAAACTGCCTACATGGTATTTTCTGGGGATAATATTGCATAAAGAAATTAACTCAATGTGTAATTTCCCAGTGTGGCTATAAATACCAGAAAGAAGAAGGTTGCACATGGCCTGGGTCCCACTTGTGCTTTTCTCACTAATGACCATCTGTGCAGAGTTGGCCTTGCCAGGAATCCCTGTCACCCACTTACTAGTCTCTCTGCCCCACAGGCTGACATTCCAAGACCTCCAGTGCAAGCCTGAAACCACATGGAGCCGAAACCTATAATTTAATGTCTCTTCCATCTTAATGAAGCACTTGGCTATATTTGTAGTTTGAGATATGACAGGAAAACTAGCACAAGTTTGTTTTTCCTTCTTCACAATTTCATGGATAGAAAATTTACCCTCACCATAGATCTTAGCAATGTTCACATAAGTTTGTTTTATTTTTATTCCTTGAATTGAGAACTATCACCTGAAAGGGAGGACTTCACCACTTCTCTTTGGCACATGTGAATTGCCTGTGTCACTCTTCTTGCACTATGTGGCCACTATTAACCAAAAGAAAGAGTATGTGGGATAAAAGCCCTGTGGTACCTTGATAGTCCATCTGATAGCCAGTTGGCCGCAAACTGCCTAATGGGTGGGCAGCACCCACAGCATGGACACACTGGCAGGGCAGGGCGCATGTCCTGGTGAGACAAAGCAGACATACAAGGCACCATCACACCACTTAGAATGGCATGCAATTCAAAGCTTATAAATTGTTTATTTCTGAAATTTTTTGTCGAATATTTTCAGGCCATAGTTGATCATGTGTGAATATTGCCATGTAATATGATTCACACATATTCCCTGCTAAACGGCTTTAGACATTACCTATTTCTGACTAAATTAATTCCTACAAAGTGGATTCAGCATCTACCCTTATCTAGAGATTCACTTTCATGATTTCAGTTACCTGTGGTCAACAAATAAATAACAGAGGCATATAGAACACAAAATAGCCATGACCAAAAGAGACCTTCTTCATGCCATACTATATGCAGAATTTCAGAAGTTCAACACAGGTACAAACTCTTAAAAGCTATTAGAGAAAATGAACAAATCACACACAAAGATAAACCCATTATAATCACAGCAGACTTCTCTACACAAACCTTAAAAACCATCTCAATCTGACGAAAGCTATCTAACACATGGTGCTGGGAAAACTGGCTACCCACATGCCAAAGGTTGAATTTAGACCCATATCTCTTACCATGAACTGAAATAAAATCAAAATGGATTAAAGATCTAAACATTAGAACAGAAACAATCTGCTGGAAGACAAAACATGTAAACATCTTGAAGATATAGGTGTAGGCAAAAATTTTTATGAACAAAACCCCAATTGCACAGGATATATTACAAAGAATCAACAACTGGGATCACATCAAATTAAAAAGCTTCTGCACAGCAAAGCAAAAACAAAAACCACTAACAGAGTGAAGAGACAACCTACAGAATGGGAAAATTTTTTTACTAGCTACTCCTCAGACAAAGGACTAATATCTAGAATATATAAAGTACTCAAAAATATCAGAACCCCCAAATTTAAGGACCCAGTTTGAAAATGAGCATCTGAAATGAACAGACATTTCTCAGATGAAGAAATACAAATGGCCAATAAATACATATTAAAAATGTTCAATATCATGGACTATTCAAGAGATGCAAATTAAAACAATGCTGAGATTCCATCTCAAGAAAGAATGGCTATCATCAAGGAATCAATAACACACTGCTGAGGCTGTAGGAATAAAAGAACACCTCTGCATTGTTGCTGGGACTATAAAATGATAAAACCAGTATGGAAATCAGTAGTGAGATTCCTCAAAAAATTAAAAGTAGAAATTCCATTTTACCCAGATATTCCTCTTCTAGGCAGCTTCCCAAAATAATCAACATCATAGGACAGTGATATATGCATACCCATGTTTATAGAAATCCAGTTCTTAATAGCTAAATCTTGGAAACAGCCTAAGTACCTATGAAAGGATAAATAAAATGTGGTATTTATACACAATGGAGTGCTACTCTGCAATAAAGATAAACTTGAGTCATTTATAGGAAAATGGATGCACCTTAAGACCTAATGTTAAGTGAAGTAACTCAAACATACAAGCTTAAATATTGCATGTTTTCTCTT